CTTTATTAAAAAGTAAGAATTTGCATGAAGAATATGCAAAATGTGGTATGGAATAAAGTAATTATAGAAAATACGATGCATTTCTAGAAACAATTGCACATGATTTGCTAAGTCTGAATTGGCTTGAACCAAGTTAATATAATTTATTTATTGACTATAAACTGCAAATAAATTTTCAGGGCACTTATGTGTGATATTAATTATTATTAGCCAATATATGTTCTTCCTTGGAAGAGAGAATGGAATTGGAAGGTTTAGGAGAGACAGCCCACAGAGGTAACATGTATTGATGGGATTAGCAGTGAAATTAGAAAGCAGAAAAGAGAAATATAAGGGGAATTTAGTAAGAAAAGATGAAAAGAAGTTTTAAAAAATTATTAAAAGAGTTATCCACAGAGAGATGGTGTATTAATCAGCTTTTCATTACTTTAACTAAAATACCTGAAAGGAATTTCTTAGGAAGGAAGATTGTATCACAGTCCTAGATCAGGGTTCCTGTGAGTCAGGCATCTGATGGTGGAACAGGTACAGAAGGGAGATCAATGGATATCTAGTAAGTAGAGAACATCTTGGCCCAACTGAGCTAAATAACAACATCTATCATGTGAGCTACCTTCTGAGGGCAAGCCCTCAGTGGACCTAAAGATCTCCCACTACACCTCCCTTCTAACCCAAAATTAGATAGAATTTCCACACTTAATCCATTAACTGTTAAAATAAGGCTTTGATGTTTAAAGATTTGTATTAGTTTGCGGATCCAAATCCCATTCAATCTGTAACAGATGGGCACAATTTGAATATCAACGGGAAACATAGGGATATATAATCCATATTCAACATTGTGTGTTGTATCACCTATGGTGGTGAAATAGCTATCAGTTCCTACAACTCAATGTCTGCTAGGTCTATCTATCAAATCTATTTTTCTGACAATTTTTAGTAGTTTCAATGAGAATAATAGTATGGATATATTTTGTAATTAGCAATAATACTTTACTTTTATCTCACTTTTCTCTTTGCTGTTAAAAGCTTCATTAAAGTATTTTGCACATCAGATAATTAAATGTCCACTGGAATGATCTTTTTACTATTATTCTAGAAAACTAGAATCAGTATATCCTGATAAATATTATGAATAGTATATTAGTTATACATTCTGATAGAACAATGAAAACAAATAAAACCATCAATTTAGCTTTTTTAATGTTTTCTCTTTTATTGTTCAATTATATTAATATTAAATATTTACTATAAGATAGAAATATGACACATAGGTCATTTAAAAGTTATAAAAAATAAATATACAACAAAGCCAGCCTATAACTAGACAAAACTATTCTGGTAAATTTATTATTTGCATTTTTATTCCCTACTTCTCCACGTCCCTGCAAATAGTGTACTTTTCCACACCTGGACTTTCTCTTTGCTCAGCTGACTTGTTTTGACCAAAGGCATGTTGGCTGATATTACACAAGCAAAGGCTTGGCATATGTGTCCATAACAGAGTCAGATTTGCTGTGTTTCTCCAATGTCATAAAACCACCATTGCATATTTGCTGTGCCTTCAGACTAAGCCCCTACAATGCATCTGCATACAGCAGTATTTCCAGTAGACCTGCATTGGTTAGCAGCTCTTTACTGCCTACCAAAGCCTGAAGCTGAGTCATCCAACTGTCCTGCAAACCATGAGTGAAAAGAAACTGTATGGTATGAGCGTTTGTTTATGGGATAAGACATCCCATATCCAAGTGCCTGAATCTTAAGTCTGGGCTCTTCTCTCAATTCCAGCTTCCTGCTAATATACACGTTTGGGAGGCAGCAGGTGGGTGAATGACGTAGTTGAATCCCTGCCACCCACATGAGAGACCTGTATTGAGTTCCTGGCTTCTGTCTTTGGTCTGTTGCACTCCTTGCAATTGTGAACATTTGGGGAATGAACAAGCAGATGGACGGACTCTCCATCTGTTTCTCTCTGGGACTCTTGAATAAATAATTTTTTGAAAAAAAGAAACTCTTGTTTTAAAGCCACTGAAATTTGAAATGGTTTGTTACCTAATACTTAGACAATAATTAGAATTACTTACATGAGCTATTTGCTCTTTCTTAATACACTCTTTTATTTGATGCCTAGAGATAATCAATCTGAACACTTTAAATGTCATTACCATATTTTTCTAGAAATAATTTTATTTTATACATTTATGTCTATATATACCATATAGTATACTTCAATATACTACGTACATTAAAGTGCATCGTAATTTATGTGGTAATCCAAATCTCATTTTTCCCCTAACAGAGTACTTTTATTTACATAGTTATTTGTAGCTGTATTTTATTCATTTCCCCTATTCTATCCACTGAGTAACTTGCTCATATTTTATCTATGCTACTCATGCTACTTGGATGATTTCCAATTTTACGGATACAAGCCTTATCTATATATCTGGGGATTGTGTATATGAGGAGTCCTCAAAATGTTCATGAGAAAAGTGCCTTTCATTGCAATTTTCCATGAATTGATTATATTGGAATATATGTGAAAACATTTCTCTATGGCATCAATCAAATTTTTGACTTCATTGTCTCTGTCAGGGTTCTGCAGAGAAATAGAACCAATAAAGTATATGTATATACACTTGTGTATTTGAGGGCTTCAAAGCATTTATGGACAATGCACATTATCTTTAATTCCATTGTTCAGTGAAGTTTTTTGAGTACCTGTAGCACCTACTGTGTTGCCATTTTGTCTCATCCGGTTTGTGTGAGGCCAAAGACACTGTGGTTTTCACACAACTTGAAGCTCTTTTCCAATTTTAGTGTGCCATTCTCTCAATCTCTCTCTCTCAGTCCTCAGAGTTGTCTTTTATTTTCTCATGAACCAAAAGTATATAGCTTTTCATATTTCAAACCATGTTTTTTAAAAGGTAAAATGATATCAAAATAATATCCTGAAATTTGCATCCTATATATTTTAGATTTAGTTGAGTTCTTACATGTGAACTATAATCTCAATATATTAAAAAACATATGGGGGCATTGTTTATGTTTATTGTTAATTAAATATCAATTTACGGCACATATAAAGAAATAAAACTTCATCCTTCCTGTTGTAACTATTTGAGTTGTGAGTTTTATTTTTCTTGGCAAATGGTTTAAACAAGAGGGAAGTGTGTAAAACTTAGATGAAAGGATTTTTCAGCCTGAGGCAGAAGTAGGCCACAGTAATGTTTATCATAGACCAAAACTTTGGTTCATAATAGTGTGAAAACCCATTAGAAAGATAGATTTGAAGAAGAGACGTGGTGAAATATTATGTTTATGTTTGCTTGGATTCTTTTTAGTCAAGTGTTTTATTTGGCCTTTAAGATTAGAAACTAAAATTTCTGATTGGCAAACATATAAATATACAACTACTGCAAAAAGCAGTTTTTTATTGCCTATCTGTTGGTGAAAGTCTACCTGTTATATGGTAATATTTTTCAAATTATAATAAAAATTAATAGACATCTTTACTTGCTGTAATGAGAATGTCCTCAATCCATAATGTACCACCTCTGTAGCACTTTCTGGTCTCCTTTCCACGGATGGCTGTTTCTCCTTTGTGGATGAAAATTTTATTTCCCTCTTGAACTAAAAATAGACAAAAACTATGAGCAAGGAAGAAACTACTTTTTTTGATCTCGTCACTGCCTCCCTTAGAGATACCTGGAGCAATTTTTGGTTTTTAAGTATAACTTCATGCATGCATTCTTTCATATACTCATTCAAATACTTTTCCTGTCAACATTTACCAATTTTTTTTTAAGATTTATTTTATTTATTTGAAAGAGAGTTACAGAGAGAAATAGAGACAGAGAGAGATCTTCCATCTGCTGGTTCACCCCCCAGTTGGCCGCAGTGGCTGGAGCTGTGCTGATCTGAAGCCAGGAACCAGGAGCTTCTTCCAGGTCTCTCACATGGGTGCAAGGGCCCAAGGACTTGGGCCATCTTCTATTGTTTCCCAGGCTATAGCAGAGAGCTGGATTGGAAGTGGAGTATCCGGGACTCGAACTGGCACCCATATGGGATGCCAGAGCTTCAGGCCAGGGCGTTAACCCGCTGCACCACAGCGCTGGCCCCTCACCAAATATTTTTAGCAATCATAATGCTCAATCCTATAGAAGCAGAGACAAGAAACAGTTCTGTGCTATAAAACACGGCCTGCTTGGGGAGGAGGGCATTTGATTCAATGAGAGGAAGTTACTAAGGGATCATATGGAAAGAGCATATAAAGAGAAAATAGAAGTGGAAAGGGTAATGAAATAAAATTTTCTTGTAGCTGACATTTTGCAGCAACAAAACAAAAAACATTATTTGTGTTTAGGTCATTAATACTCATTTCTTAAACTACGTTTGGGCCCACTGCTTGGAAGACCTTGTTCTTTTAACGTCTGATAAAGACCTAAGTGGAAAGTCCTTTGACTCTTCTGCAACCATCAGATCTTAAAAAATCTCTGTTCTCTCTTATGGCACAAAATCCATCTCGTTCCTGATTCCCTGGTACCTTATTTAACCAGACAGCACTCTTGGTGCTTCAAGCATAAACGGTGCTGACTTATTGTTTTACATTGTGTTATGTTTGAAATTGCCTTAGCCCATGTCAGAATAATCATTTTGAGGTCGCATTTTCCATAGAGCCCAACACATAACCCTGAACCAAACATACAGTAACAAAATCTCTAATTTAGTAACTTAATCCAGAAGAATCTAAGAGAATTAATCCTAGAACCTGAACAATAGCAGTCAATCTCATCAGCTTGAATTACTAAATGGTACAAGTAATTAATTATATAGACCCAAATAAGATAAGATACTATAATTTGGTTGTTTATTTATGGCCCTACCAGTAAGAATAATTCACTTACATACACACAAATTACAGAATATAGTTATTCTTAAAAATAAATTATAAATCACTTTGTAACAAATGATTTTTTTTTTTTTGTTCTTGCAAATAGTGGCAACAAGTTGGCTACATCAAGTGGTGACACTACAGTTAAATTGTGGGACCTATTTAAAGGCAACTGCATTTTGACTTTCGAAGGACACAGCCATGCAGTCTGGTCCTGCTCATGGCACTCTGGTGGCAGTTTTGTAGCTTCTTCCTCAATGGATACAACTAGCAAAATCTGGGATGTCAACAGGTAAGAAGTACTTTAAGCATTAATAACCTCTATGTGGAGATAAATCGATCTATGATATGCATAAAGCTATATAGGAAAAGCTTTTTTCTTCAATGCTACCCCTGGAAAACTTTAAGAGAAACTGCTAGATGATAAGAATATAGAGAGCTGTTTAAATAATCTCTTTTTGGAATTCATTTTTAACTCCATCAATCTTTGCTGATGTTATAATTCCTTTCTAAATGTGGGTATCAAGATCAAGCCTGTGTAATAAGATTAGAATTCCTTCATTTGGAAGTGGTTTGTTTTAAGCAGATCAGAACTAATACTTATTATAAAGAGTTAGGTTTTTAGTTCTGCCTTACTGACATTTTCTCTCCAAACAATGGAGTTTAACTATATAATAGATTTGAATGTGATGGAAATATGTCCTGTTTTATGTGTAATTTTGGTATTTTGGTTTCCCTAATTAAGATGTTTCTTGGCAAAGGTATCAATTTATTGCATGTAGAGTCCTATAAAATATCATATGGCTATACAAGTTTTATGTTTTAATTTTAATTCAGAACAGATAAATTAATTATGTTTGTAGTATCAAAATTCCAGCTATCCGTGTACTTTTATATGATTATTAGATTCTGTTAGGTGTTCAAATGTGATTTAAAGAGGTAAATATGGGCCGGCGCCGCAGCTCAATAGGTTAATCCTCCACTTGCGGTTCCGGCTCCCCGGGTTCTAGTCGTGGTCGGGGCACCGGATTCTGTCCTGTTGCCCCTCTTCCAGGCCAGCTCTCTGCTGTGGCCCGGGAGTGCAGTGGAGGATGGCCCAAGTGCTTGGGCCATGCACCCCATGGGAGACCAGGAGAAGCACCTGGCTCCTGCCTTCGGATCAGCACGATGTGCTGGCCGCATTGGAGGGTGAACCAACAGCAAAAGGAAGACCTTTCTCTCTGTCTCTCTCTCACTGTCCACTCTACCTGTCAAAAAAAAAAAAAAAAAAAAGAGGTAAATTCAGGTACTATAAAACACAATCATTGATTCAACTAAAGAATTACAAATCATCTCAGACTTCTGATAAATTGTGTCATTGAAATGGTGCCTATATCCAAGAATAAGCAATAATGACTGGCAAATATAGGAAAACAGTTGTCACCAAGCCATGGTAATGTACTTTGAGTAAAATGATGAACTCATTCTAAAGCCAAGGACTACTGATTTAGAGTTATGTGTGAAACAGGTGCTTTGAACACCTGTCTGGATTCTTCCTTTAATCATGGGAAGCATCTGTTATGAAATGGCATGGCCATGAATATCGTATTTCTGACTTATTACTATCTAAAGTAGTGGTGATTTAAGATTTCTTTTAATTCTCAGTTTGGTAAATTTTATCTGAAACAATTATATATAATTCTGAATTTTATTATGCTTATAATTTATGTGAATGTATTTCATATTATAATAGGTTACTGGACTTTTGACACTAGTATCTAGTTTTAATTTTTGCCAACTTTGGCTTTGATGTGGAAGCTAATAAAAGACTGTGCCCAATCTAAAGTATATCTTCAAATCTCTTAACTATTCAGAGTTTTTAAAAGATTATTTTTTATTTGAAAGGCAGAGTTACAGATAGAGGGGGAGGAGGAGAGACAGAGTGAGATTTCTGTCTGTTGGTTCACTCCCCAAACAGCCACAATTGCCAGATCTGGTCCAATATGGAGTGCTGGTGGCTTTACTCACTACACCGCAGCACTGGCACCTAGTCAGAGTTTTTAAACCAAACCATGATTAAAAACTGATTCTCGATAGGCTTAGCCCTACTTAGTATAGTTTCAAATACTTTGACTTGACAACTTTGTTCCACAGCCCTGATATCCAAATACTGTCTTATAATCTTTCCAATAGATACTGACATAACAGATCAAAATTACTCCTGATGCATGCCAAAATTCTTTAAATTTAAAATTTCCAATCAATGTCAATAGCTTACCTTCACCAATAAGGACTTTTTATAAATTTTAAAGCCAAGATAATAGACAAATAATGGAGAATTTTTTTAAGATTTATTTATTTATTTGAAAGTCAGAGTTACAGAGAGAGGAGAGGCAGAGAGAGAGAGAGAGAGAGAGGTCTTCCATCCAGTGGTTCACTCCCCAATTGGCCGCAACGGCTGGAGCTGTGTAGATCCAAAGCCAGAAGCCAGGAGCTTCCTCCAGGTCTCCCACATGAGTGCAGGGGCCTAAGCACTTGGGCCATCTTCCACTGCTTTCCCAGGCCATAGCAGAGAGCTGGATCAGAAGTGGAGCATCCGGGCCTTGAACCAGCACTCATATGGGATGCTAGCGCTTCAGGCCAAGGTGTTAACCCGCTGTACCACAGTGCTGGCCCCAGGGAGAAATATTTTGATAGTGGCTATTGATACATTTGTCAGTGTCATAAAGTATCAAGCTCTAATTTGTAATTACTCATGGATCAATATTGTGTGGATATGTCTAAAGCAAGTGTGTTGCTTGAAAATTTAACAGGCTACTAAAACTACCTTAGTGACATAAGAGGAGAAGTTATTTGCCTTAGTAAGACAGATGACATTGGAAATTGTTCTATATTGGTTCATATATTTTTATTTTGATGCTGTGCTTTCTTAATAAATATAATTTATAATGGTTGATGTTATTGTTCAGCAGAGAGGAAGAGGTCAGAATCTATTTTCCTCTTATGCCATCCACCCATCCATTTGAGCTCCTAGCTCAGTCTTGAAAATCCTTTGGCTGATGTCACATCACTAGTCCTGTAAACTAGTTCCTGAATTAGGCATTACTTGGCAATATCATCTATTTACTCCTCACCAGAAATTTGGAACACTGTAAAGCATAATCAGTATAAAGTTCTGGGTAAAGATTTAAGTTTTTTTTTAAGATTTATTTTATTTATTTGGAAGACATTGTGACACACAGAACGAGAGAGAGAGAGAGAGAGCGAGCGAGCATGCCAGCAAGAGCATGTTTGCTAGCTTCCATCCACTGGTTCAGTTCCAAAATGGCCACAATGGCTGGGGATGGCACAAGCTGAAGCCAGGAACCTGGAATTCTGATTCTATCGTGTGGGTGGCAGGGGTTCAAGCACTTGGGCCATCTTATCTTCTGTTGCTTTCTGAGGTTCAATAGCAGGGAGATAGATCTGAAGCAGGGCAACCAGGACTCAACCCAACTCTCCAGTATGGGAGGCTGACTTTGCAGGCAGTGGCTTAACCTGTTGTGCCACTCATCTACCAAGACGTATTTTCTAATTGCCGATAAGAATCTCTGACCAGTATCTGGGGCAGTCTTAGTTTGGATAAGTCCATACTCTATAAGGTTTTCTGAGGGAATAATAGAAACACTTTGGGGTAGGCGTTGTGGCACAGTGGCATGACCTGCTACTTGTGGTGCTGGCATCCCATATGAGTGCTGGTGCAACTCCCAGTTGCTCCATGTCTGATCCAGTTCCCTGCTAAAGTGCCTGGGAAGGCAGCAGATGATGAACCAAGTGCTTGGATCCCTGCCAGGCACAGACCTGGGTGGAGTTCCAGCCTTCGACATGGTCAATCCCTGGCTGTTACGGCTGTCTGGGGAGTGAACCAGTGAATGGAACCACTCACTTGCTCACTTTCTTCCCAACCCCCTTTGTCTCTTACTCTGTCTTTGTAACTACCTTTCAAATAAATAAATCTTTATTAAAAGAATACTTTAATGATCTTATATATGATAATAGTTTAGAAGTTTGTGTTTCTGTGATTGATTTCTACCTTGGTTTTCAATTTTCAGTATTAAGAAGTAGAGAGAGAGTGAGAGCATGGGCAGGGAGGAGGGTAGGATGGGGAGTATTATTATGCTCTTAAATCTGTATATATGAAATACATGAAATTTGATCACATTATGTAAATTAAAATTTTTAAAAAATCAGTCAAAGCAGATGTCTGCAATGGCCCCCACAACCCCCATACACCCTATTTTACCCTAAGCAGAGAGTGCTTGGCACATGGTAGTGTGCTGTTTTTCATTTATGTAAGTACACTACCATGTGCCAAGCACTCTCTGCTTAGGGCAATACTGATGAAGAATATTCTCACTGTTCTCCCTACCCTATCCACATGCAAACTATAGAATAATTGTGTTGCCTTTTGTTGTTTTGAGCATCTCTTTTATAAGATTTATTTATTTACTTGAGAGGCAGAGTTACAGAGGGAGAGACAGAGAAAGAGGCCTTGCATCTGCTGGTTCACTCCACAAAAGGCCACAATGGTTGGAGCTGCGACCAACTGAAGCCAGGAGCCAGGAGTCAGGAGCTGCTTCTGGGTCTCCCCCACAGGTGCTGGGGCCCAATCACTTGGGCCATTTTCCACTGCTTTCCCAGGCCATCAGCAAGGAGCTGGATCAGAAATAGAGCAGCCAGAACTCGAACCAGAGCTCATATGGGAAGCCGGCACCACTGGCAGAGGCTTAGCCTGCTACACCACAGCGCTGGCCCCTAATTGTGCTGTCTGAGACAACATGAATCTACAAAATGTTGAATGTGTGATCTGAAAATTAGAAAATATTGGTCATGTATAAAAGTAATTTGAGTTTCTTTGGAGGCATTCATGCTTAACATTACTCAATGAGTATTCATGATATGACTTAAGAGTTTTGGGCTCTGTTACAGACTTAAGAAAATTCTCAGACTCAAGGATTGCCCTCCATGAGATTACAAATAATTAAAAAGGCAGCAGTTTTGAAGTAATCAGAGAATATGCAATACATCTACTGCTTATAGCGTTGCATCAGGAACTCTGGTAGACTCTGGCTACTTTTCTTCCGAGGTAGCTGGGTATTTGGCTAAGGAGCTATATCATACTGCCACTCTGAGTTTGGAAAGCAGACCATGTGCCTTCTTAGCTGGTAGCTTAGGGGAAAGAGTTTGGAAATAATCATAAAAACAAAATGGTACTGGATTTAGCTGTCTAAGCTGTTTTAACAAGGCATTCATTATACAGGCAAGAACTGAGTG